GTCAACATCCTTTTTGAATTGTGGTGCCCAGAATTGGACTCGGTATTCAAGGTGAGGCCTGACCAAAGCAGAATAGAGTGGGTTCAGGTCCCCGCTTGAGCTATGAAGTCATATCACCACACTCAGTGTCAGCCCTGACCTACCTCACAAAGTGAGGATTATGAGGATAAAGTGGGGGAAGGAGGACGAGAAGCTAAGCTGCTCTGATAGACTTTGGGCTGAAGAGCGGGATATAAATAAATAAATAAAACTGAAAAGTAGATGAACAAAGTGTAATTTAAAGGAGAAGCCATTACTGCAGGGGTAGGCAACTGCATGGAAAGCAGAGGGCAGTTTCCCCCATAGACCTCTAACAGGCCACACACACACTAAAATGCCTCTGTTTTCTTCTACGGTCCCTCTCAAAATGGTGACAGGAAGTGACATTGCATCACTTCATGTTGCCATTTTGAGAGAAACTTCAGAGAAAAACAGGAATTAGTGTGAAGTTCTGAGGTACTTGCATGGGTGAGGCGGATGTATTTTCATGTGTTTGTAGTGTAGCCCACAGCTTGCTTTGTTTGAAATTGTTTTAACTATCTTAATTCTTCTTGAGATTTTATGTCAATTTTTAAGATATGCAGTTTAATATTTTTAAAGGGGGAGGGTGGGCTTTGGGGGCTTTTAGTCTCTAATTTTGATGTAATCTTAACTGTGGTAAGCCGCCCCAATTGTTTTTAACAGAGGGGTGGGGTATAAATAAATTTTATTATTAGTGATTTTCTGCATGGTTTTCAGACAAGAATTCCCCAAAATTGGGCCATTAAAATGAAATGATTGAAAGATTAGGGACTGGGGGGGGAAGGTTCTGGTCCACAAAAGGAGGGTCCAGGCATCCCATATGGTCCCTGGGCTTCTCTGTGCCCATCCCTGCTTTACTGCAATAGTTCCCACTCTGCAGGATGTTTAGATGTATCCTAAAGACAGCAGAAGCTGCCAATGCTAATAATCTTTCTCTCTTTCCCCCAGTTACCTTCATGCTAAGAATATAATCCACCGGGACCTCAAATCCAACAGTATCCTTCTCTTCCAGCTCCTCAATGTGGGGTGGGGGTTTCATAGACCCTTTCCTGTGGGAACTTGAGTTGCATGACCTTCATTGACCGGTGCGACTGGATGAGTTGGACCAGGATATTGGAAAGGAGAGGGTTACACTCTTTAAAATTGTGGCAGCAACAATAATATCAGTTTTTCTGTCTGGTATTTGGGCATATAGCAGTTATTTTGGTGCAGACTACTTACTTTGGTGCAGAGCAGAGTGATAGGTCACCACCTTGGGCCAAGACCTACTTGATGCTCCTTCACCTCCTGTCCTCAGACATTTTCCTACATGAAGGACTGACAGTGAAGATCGGTGACTTTGGCTTGGCCACAGTGAAGACTCGCTGGAGTGGTTCACAGCAGGTGGAACAGCCCAGTGGCTCCATACTCTGGATGGTGAGTGGGATGTGAGGTTACTCTCAGGGAAGGCTCTGCCAGTTGGAGGCTGGTAGATGTGGAAAGCAGGACAGCAGAAACAAGCAGGGCTTTCCAGAGGAAAGAAAAAAGGCAAGTGTGTTCCTTCACACCACCCAACCCTGAACGCCTTCCCTCTGGACTTCCTCAGGCACCGGAAGTGATCCGAATGCAGGATCCCAACCCCTACAGCTTCCAGTCAGATGTCTACTCCTATGGAGTTGTTCTCTATGAGCTGCTCTCTGGGAGCCTTCCCTACAGCCACATCAACAACCGGGACCAGGTAAGGAAGGAAGGATGGATGGAGTGGGGCTTGAGGGGATCCAGGCTTCCAGGGAACTTGCAGTAACAGTTTTGACTGAGCCATCTTCCCATTTTGGATTCTGTTTGGCTTGCTTGCTTGCTTGTACAGTGGGACCTTGGAATCCACTGGAGTGCAGTTCCAGAACCACCACACACACACAGACACGCACACACACACACCATGGATACCAAAATCTGTGCAGTCCTGTTATATATTATATAAAATCAAGGCTTGCTTTTTAGAATTATTAGAAAAAATAATTTAGAATTATTATTTGAATATTTTCAAGCTGTGGATGGTTGAATCTGTATAAATAAGGAACTGAAAGCACGTAGCCAAGCAGCAAACAGAGAGGAGACAAGCTCTATATGTTCTAAGATGTTTAAAAAGCCCAACGTGTTTTGGCCACATGACTAGGCCTTCTTCAGGGACTGAAAACAAATATAAATACACTTAAAATAAGATATTTAAAAAGATAGGGCAACACTCATCAAATAGTGATATAAAAATATTCATATAGATCTTATCAAAGTTATACATACCCTTTGAGAGAAATCACAACGCTCTCCAAATTACAGGACCATAGCAATAAAGGAACCAAACAGTGTAGCATTTCTGTATATATACATATTCAGAAGGCTAAACACAAACAGTGGCACCTGTTGGAAAACATTCCAGGATGTAAACAAAAACCAGTGTTTTCATTTAAGAGAACCAAAAACATCAGAGACTTAGTAATGCATGCTGAGTGTAAAACCTCCAAACAATCTGCTGAGAATACTGCGATGGGTCTGTCTTAGCCAGTAGGAACATCCATGTGGTCACTGCACATACTGCACCCACACAACTAAAATGACAAGAGTTGTGTAAATTACAATGACCCACAACGATATAAACTATCCCACTTTAGCATATGCAATGCTAGTTTTGTCATTTATGCTATTCAATGTGCATGTAAGAAACTGTGGGACACACCACAAGACCAATAAAACGCAGAATAGGGAACACCTCTCCAATCTAAAAATAGAAAAGTGGGAGCTCCCTTAGTCGGTCATTTTGTAGAAATGCAACATGCTACAGCTGATTTCTGATTTTGGGTCATAAAAGAATTTATAATAATAAAGAATATATTTTAAAGAAAAAGGAGATAGAATGGATTCTAAAACTGAAATCCTTGGTGCCTGTAGGTTTAAATGAAGATTTGGACCTACAATCCTTAATTTGAATATAACAGAAATTATACATCAGAGCATATGTATGGGTATGATAATAATGTCATGAATAGAACGAGTAAATGCCAAGAGAAATTGTATCATATGTCCCTGTGACATATCATTGGTTATGCCTTTTCACTGTCATCTGGAATATGTATATATTTAGAAATGCAACACTGTCTGGTCCCTTTATTTCTATGGTCCTGTAATTTTGAGAGTGTTTTCAACTCCAGTGATTTCTCTCAAAGGGTATATGTAACTTTGATAAGATCTATATGGATATTTTTATATCATTGTTTGATGAGTGTTGTCCTATCTTTTTAAATATCATATTTTAAGTGTATTTATATTTGTTTTCAGCCCCTGAAGAAGGCCTAGTGTGGCCGAAACACGTTGGACTTTTTAAACACTGAATAAACTGTTGGCCATCTTAGAGCACACGGAGCTTGTCTTCTTTCTGTTTGCTGATGGTTGAATCCGTGTATGCAGAATCCGTGGATATGGAGGGCTGATTGTATAAGGAGACACAAGAAATATGTCCACTACATATTATAATATTCTGGTTCTAGAACAGATCAAGCCTGAACTATCCCTGGAAGCCAGGATGACTAAATTGAGGCTGTTGTACTTGAAGAGGCAGAAGGGAAGGGGCTGCGTCAGCCAGAAATGAATCCTTTTTTGGGGGGGGGGGAAACTTTGTGGTAATGATGTATCTCCCACGCCTCTTTCCAGATTATATTCATGGTGGGTAGGGGGTACCTGTCCCCTGACGTTAGCAAAGTGCCCAGCAATTGTCCCAAAGCCATGCGCAGGCTGATGAGTGACTGTTTGAAATTCAAGCGTGAAGAGAGACCCCTCTTCCCTCAGGTGAGTCCGGTGGCAAAGGTGGCAGAGGAGGGGATTGGCATCTGTCTGTCTGTACATGTGTGGCAAGCTCCTAATAGTCTTCTAAGAACATTTGGTCTGCTCGCATAATGAATTTTAATTTGTGGTTGGGGTATGAAGGTGATATATACATACTGGAGTGTAAACCAGGGGTGGGCAACCTTTCCCCTTTAAGGGCCGAGGGACTTCAGCTCCCAGAAGCCTCAGCCATGTTGGCCAATAGTCCCATGTTGGCCAATAGCTCCTGGGATTCTGGGAGCTGAAGTCCCTCGGCCCTTAAAGGGGAAAGGTTGCCTACCCCTGGTATAAACACTTGAGGGCCACCTCCTTCCATAGGA